TCCTGGCCCGTTTATCACAGCTTGGGGGCTCATTCGGGATAGCCACGCCCTGAAGAGGACCAGGGACGGGACGGCCGCCCACCCTATTGGGCCTCCAGAGGACAGCTGGCTATACTGGACCCAGAAGAACAGCCTGGGATCGACATCGGAGAAGAGCGCCGGATTGGGTAAGCCACCGGTGGCGGGAGTAGGAGGCGAGTGAGTGGATGTGTGAGTGGGACGGGGGCTGGCAGCCCAGACCCCCGGGGCGAGTGCGGACTGCCCAGTACCGCAGTTCCGGACTCCCGCGAGGGGGCCGGCCGGGAATGGCAGGAAGCGAAAGAGGCTCACTTGGGCCCAGAGAAACGAGTGAGGCGTCTCCTGGGGATAAAAGCCCCCCCTCTGAGTGCGCAGAGGGTACCTAAGAGAGTGAGTGGCGCACATAGGGGTAGGCTCCTCTACTGAAAAGGGCTAAACGGCCTAGGCTGCTCCGGGCGTGTGGAAGGCCTAGGTGAGTGAGAGTCACATGCAGGCAATCTAGGTAACTCCCGGGGTGGTGTGTGGGGGTGCCTAGGTTCGGTGTGAGTGAACACACCCCCCCCGCTTGGGTACTCAGACGACCTGACCGGGGAATTGGAATTGGGGGTCCCCAGGCCCTACCGGCACCAGGCGGTCAGCGAAGGGCCCTCGCTTCCCAGGGTCTGTGACACAGGACGTGCTGAAAGGCTCTAGTTGTCGCGGCTCGGTCTCGGCTCAGGGGGTTCCTGAGAAGGGAGGTTGTTAACCTGATGCCGGAGAGCACAGGGGCAGGTAGTCTGTGTGGGCGGGCGAGGCAGCTAGAGTAATACACTCACGCATCCCTTAGCCGAAGCCATTCCCTGGTGGGCGGAGCGGCTAGGAGGCAAGGGGGAATTCTCCCACCACTCACTTACAGTCAGCCCTTGCGCAGAAGCTATTCTCACTGGGGAAGGGGGATAGTCAGGGAGCGGAGGGGCAGGGGGTTCCGGGGTGAGCCCTGCTGACCAAATCTTGTGGACGGCACTGAGACAGGGACGGGGGAAGGTCCCAGGAGCGTCTAGTGCTAGGGTCCCTTCGACGTCGACCCAGGAGTGCTCATAGTCTTCGCTGGCAAGGGGGTCAGGGAGGCGAGGCGCGAGGGGAACGTGATTGGGGTGTAGGGAGGGGCAAGCGGAACCTGCAAGCCCCGCTGGGACCTAACCCCCGGGGCAAGCGGAGACTGCAAGCCCCAGAAAATTCAAAGTGTGAGTGGAAGGCCGGCCGAGTGTAAGAAAGGGTGTGGATTCCTGTGTGAGAAGATTGAGTGTATTCCCTAGTGTGAAAGGAGAGAGTGAGTTCCTAAAGTGTGAGTTTTTGTTGAGGTTTGAAAGGTCAGTTGTCCGTCATTAGAAATTTTTAGTTTGAGTAGGAGCACCTTTATAAAGTTTGATTTAAGTAAGAGCCAATTTTAAGTTGGTTAGAAGTTGTGTTGTCTGTCAGTTCCAGTTTTATTCAGGTAAAGGCACCGTAAGTTTTTTTTTAAGTGAAGGTCCAGAGATAGGAGGAGCAATGGGACAGTGTTTAAGTAAGAGAGTAGGTCCCAAGGGGAATGAAGAGGCCACCAGAACCATTCCCCCTGATAACCCCACTAGGGCAAATGTTAAATTGCTGGGATGCACAAGAGGCCACCAAGGGCCTAGACCGGATCAAGATGATCCATTACTGTATAGAGGTCTGGTCCAAACTAGAGATACAAGCTCATGTCTCTCTGTATTTGCAACTTGTAGGTCAGCAAAGGAGAGCCTGGAATCCAGCCTGTCTGCTGCTCAGCAGCAGATACCTCAGCTGGAGATGAGCAAGAACCATCTGGAGGCTCAAGTGCTCAGAGTCACACAGGCCAAGGCAGTGGTAGAAGGTGAGGACCTCGTGTGCTTTGTTTGTGGTGCCGCCCCTGCCGAGAGAAGCTAAGCACCCTGTAAAGCCACCTCTGTCCACAGGGCTTCTGAGGAGTGGTGGGGCTGGAGGCACTGAAAGGGCCTGAGGTCAGTAAAGTCAGTAAAGACTCTGACTCCTGCTGTTGGTGATGTTTGCAGGACAAGTGAAATTCCTGCAACGAGAGCTGGAAGCAGAGGGAGCTCTCAGGACATGGTTTCTGGAGTGCAGAAAGCCAGTGCTGTTGTCTTTCCAGGCTGGGGTTTGTGGGATGGATGAAGCTTCACATTTTTCAGCAAGGAGCTTGCTGGGACTTCATCTTGCAAATTTCTCCTCCCCTCCTCAGGCAAGTGAACGTGAAAGGCACCGTGCTGAGGTGCTGGAACAATGGCAAGAAGAGAAGGCAAAGAGAGAGCGGGAACACGAGAAGGTGCTGCTTGAGCTGAGGCAGAAAGTTGCCACCCTGCAGGTCTAACAAGATGAACAAACTAGATTTGAAAAAGCCAAGCGACAGGTAATGGTTCTGAAGGGAGAACTGGTGTGATTTTTTGCAAGGCTGGAGCTGTGGAGATAGCAGGCTATGGGGGCTGTGTGGAGCATGTCCTCCATGTCCTCTCCATTGAATTTGGGCAGGTGAAAATTGAACGGGTCTGTCTTTGGGACCAGGAATGAGCCCTCTCACAGGAAGCCAGGCAGAAACATCAGCTTTAAGTTGAGATTTTTGTGCTGCTCTTGTGTTCTGTTTTTCTAAGACATACCTCAGAGTTTCTTCACTGTTCTCTTACCACTCCCCTTTTGGTGTGTGCTGGTAGGTGTTCAGTGCCAAAGTGAGATTGTAGGACTTTTGTGGGCACAGGGAGTGTGAAGCAGAAATGCTGACAAGGATGAGAAAAATCTATTTAACGACTCATCTGGAGTATTTCTGAAGAGGAACCCAGAGATGTCTTCTGGGCTGTGTTTTAAGTCACTTCCTGGGCAGCTGTGGCTCCCCGGGGCAGACAGTGGCCCAGGGGAGCAGCAGCCAAGTGCTCTGAGGGCGCGTGAGCCCATCCGTCCTTGCCTCTTGCCACACAGATGTTGCAGGCAAGTGTGAAACCCTCTGCTCTTTGCTTCTGTGCAGGTGCTGCAGGAAGAGCAGAATGAGAAGAGGGCTTTAACAGAGACACTGCTCCAAACTCGGGGACAGCTCAGCCAAGTGTGCCAGCAGGTCCAGCAGCTCAGGCAGGAGGTGAAAGAGCAGCAAGAGAAGGGACAGGTAAGTCTGAGTAGGCAGGGAATGGAGTGCAGGGCAGGGACAAGGGCACAAAAGGCAGCTCCTGGGAGTGAGGAGGCAAGGGCTGCCTCAGGCTGTGGGAGCACAGAGCCTGGTAAGCTCCAGAGCTCAGGCCAGGAAGGAGGGCTTGCAGTGCAAGCAGAGCTGGGTTGAGAAGCCACAAGAAGTGGCTGAAGGAATGGGATTTGGAGACAGCAAGTGCAAAAATCTGAGCCTGAGGGCAGGTCCCAGGAAGTCGCTCTGCATTTTGTTGCCAGACCATCAAGGCAAAGCTGCAAGCTGAGCTGCAGGAAGCTCACAATGAAATGCTGGCAGTGCAGAGGAGGCACAAGGAAGAACTTCAGGGCATCAGAGAGAGGAGATGAATGTCCTCCTTGAGCAGAGGGATGCTCTACAAAAGCAGGTGAGTGAAACAGCAGTGGCACTGCAGTCAGCCAGGGAGGACTCTGTGGCCTTCTTGCTTTTCCATGGCAGAGCAGCAGCTGATGGGGTGATCCCTGGGGCTGCCTCATGCTGTGGGGGCTCCATGGCAGCTGCTCTGAAGGACACTCAGTGCTCTGCTGAATCTCAGCTGCTGCCCCCTGGACAGCTAGGCCAGTCCTCTGGGCTGTTGGCCAGCAACCATCAGCATGGACTCCTGCTGGCCTCTTCTTGCTAGCCTTGGTTTGGGAGGTGCTTTTTCAGGTGGGCCACTTAGAGATTTAACCTTAAGTTGTCCATCTCTATTGGGAATCTGCCAGTCCCAGGACAGGGAGAAAGGGAAAGTTTTCCTTTCTCATTCCTAAGTGCCTCTACTGTGGCTGACAGAGGCAGGCTGTGGCTGTCGCCTCTGACTGCTTTGTTCTGTTTGACTGGAGGTGGAAGAGTTGACATCTCAGCTGGCAGCCTCCCGAGAGTTCCTGGAAAGCAGAGTCCAGAGAGCCCAGCAATATGTGAGCGAGGCCCAGGCACAGTCAAGGCAGAAGCAATTGGAGGCTGAACACATCCAGAAGAGGCTGGAGGAGGCAGAACATCAGAAGAAGGAGCTCCAAGTGAAGCTGCAGAAACTGGAGAGGGAATGGAGTGAATGCAAAGAAGTGGCACTGGAAAATTTTGAATTGCAGGCTTCCGTGAATGTCCTAGAGAGGGAAAGAGACAGGTAAATGAAAGCCTGTGGGACTCTGCAATGTGGTGAATGCATTCCCTCTTTGCCATCTTTGCACCTACCTGGGGCTCTGGCAGCATTTCCTAAGTGGCAGATTCTGAACTCTCCATGAAGACACATCTCATTATCTGTATGTTGTGTTCATTCTCTAATATTTTAAGCCTTCACTTGGAGTTTTTCTGAAGACAAAGGCTTTTGGGGTAGCTCTTTCCCTCTAGGGAGTGTTGTGCTGTTAGGTTAGGTTAGGTTAGGTTAGGTTAGGTTAGGTTAGGTTAGGTTAGGTTAGGGTGTGTTAACAGTGCTGGAGCTGCAGTGTAAGGAGCTGGATACATCCATCAGCTCCACCTTGGCTGCTGTAACTTGAAGCCTTTGGGATCTGATCAGCCTGGCATCTGATGCCTTTGCTGGGCAGAACCTTCTTAAGGCCCTGAGTGCTGATCAAGCCCAGATTGCCCTGGGAGGCACCCAAGAAACAAGAATGTTTCTTGAAAGAAATTGGCCAGGAGACAAGACTCCTGTTTGTTGCCTTTAATTAGGATTCAGCTCTTGGGGTGGGGGGCCCGAGGGCTTGTTTGCACCATGGCCGTTCCCACACTGGCAGCTCCAAGGAGGAGGCACAATTCAGCTTTGCAGCACACCTGCAGAGCTGGGGCTTCCGTCCTCATGAGAGTAGCCAGAAGGCCTGTTGTTCTGGCTCGTTGTCTAGGGGTGTCAGTCCTTTCCAGTCCTCTTAGGTCATGGTGATGCAGGAAGATGGTTTCTAAGCAGGCTTAGGTGATGCAGGGAGATGATCTTAGCTTGCTAGAATATGTTTCCTTGTCCTTTTATTCCTCTGTTAGCTCATTGTTTTGGTGTCTTGCATGCCTTAGTTTGCGTAGTACTTGGTTGCACAGCTTCCTGGGAGTTTCTTTGTTCTAGTGTGGCACAGCAACCATGGGAGTTGTCTCCTTCTGTGGCATACCTTTCTAATGGGTTGCTTTTGTTAGTTTAATTTAGCCCCCATGGGAGCAGCTCTGTTACAGCAGTAGCAGGGAAGGAAGGGAAAGGTACAGGAATGTCTCATAAGAACCTTTAAAACACTTCAGAACCTGGTAAGTAATTAACATTACTAATAACCATCGGAGTAAACAAGGGGTACAAGGTTTACAAATGGGATAAGAACATTAACTGTACGTAACTAAACACAGTATTTTAACTGGGGTGGATTTCTTGAGAGATTTTATTCATGATATCTCTGGTGCATTGCTCCTGAAAAAATGCACCCCACCCCCCCCCCGCCCCGGTACCTGGAGGGGCTCAAGCAGGGTCCCTGCCACCCTCCACACTCACAGGTGTTACTGACTGTGCAAAGAATGCAAGAAACCAGAGCAAGGTTAGGGGGGCTCCTCCAGCTGATCAAGTCAAGCCAGTCTTCAGTGCCACAGGATTCTTCTTCCAAGAAGA